TGTGTGTGTGTGTGTGTGTGTTACTAGTTGTGTTTTTGCGGGGGTTGAGCTTTGCTCTTTCGGCCCGCCTCTCAACTGTTAACTAACTACTATTTATTTATTTATTTATTTTTTTTCCACACCACACACACACACAGTCCCAGGAGCAGACTAACTCCCAGGTACCTATTTACTGCTAGGTAACAGGGGCACTTAGGGTGAAAGAAACTTTGCCCATTTGTTTCTGCCTCGTGCGGGAATCGAACCCGCGCCACAGAATTACGAGTCCTGCGCGCTATCCACCAGGCTACGAGGCCCCTGTGTGTGTGTGTGTGGCCATGAACGTGGCCAGATGTTCACTTCAAGGTCAACACTTCGCAAGTGTATCTGGCGCCGCCTTATGGTATTTACCTCACAAGTGGAGTGAGAGAGAGTGTGTGTGTTTGTGAATGTGTGTGTGAATGTGTGTGTGTGTGTGTGTGTGTGTGTGTGTGTGCGCGCGTGCGTGCTCACCTAGTTCTACTCGCATATGTGCTTGTGGGGGAAGGGGGGGGGGAGGGCGTTGAGCTTCGGCTCTTTGGTCCCGCCTCCTAACGGTCATTCAACTGGTTTACAGGTTCCTGAGCTTATTGAGCTCTATCATCTCTTGAGTTCTCTTGAGATGATTTCGGGGCTTTTTAGTGTCCCCGCGGCCCGGTCCTCGACCAGGCCTCCACCCCCAGGAAGCAGCCCGTGACAGCTGACTAACACCCAGGTGCCAATTTGACTGCTAGGTAACAGGGGCATAGGGTGAAAGAAACTCTGCCCATTGTTTCTCGCCGGCGCCTGGGATCGAACCCAGGACCACAGGATCACAAGTCCTGCGTGCTGTCCGCTCGGCCGACCGGCTCCCATCATATCTGCATTTAAAACTATGTATGGAGTCAGCCTCCACCACATCACTTCCTAGTGCATTCCATTTATTAACTACTCTCTCTGACAGTGAAAAAGTTATTTCTAATGTCCCTGCTGTGGGTCTGTGGCTGTGCGTGTATTTACTATTTGTGCCTGTAGAATTTGAGTTATTAACTCTTGGACCTCGCCTTTTTAACCAAATCTATTTTCCCTCTATTATGTCTACTACATATATTTCTCAAACACATGCACACGCGCGCACACACACACACGTGAACACACACGCATGCACGCACGCGAACACACACACACACACCCGTGAATTTACCAAGGGGTGAACGAAGCTGTTCTTTTGTTTCTGCCTCAGCCAGGAATCGAGCCCGGGCCCTTAAGACTACGACCTCCGAGAGCTCTCCACTCAGGTGCGAGTCCCAATATGTATGTATGTATGTATGTATGTATGTATGTATGTATGTATGTATGTATGTATGTATGTATGTATGTATGTATGTATGTGTACGCGCATGCATCAAGGTCTCTCATTATCATTATGCTTATTATACTTTTTCCAATAACTTCCGACCTCACAGTGGTTGGTGTTTGGGGACCTTTGTGGGAGGTAGAACAGTATAGTGGTGTGGGAGCAGGAGGGGAATCGTGTGGGGAGGTATTATATGGGTGAGGGATGTAGCACAGAGGTGTAGGAAGCAGAGGGGTTAGGTAGAATAGGGGTAGGGATAGGGGGGGGGAGGAGAATCGTGTTGGACAGAAGCCAAACAGAAGTTAACATCCCGCCAGCGGCCCTCCCCCCCCCCCCCGAGGGAATCGATTTTACAATGGCGGAGAGTAACTTGTGCTGCTGCCGCTACGATTCCCCACGCAGATACACTGATACCTTTCTCTTTGCCTATTTACCCTACCTGATTTCATGTCTTACACGTGAGAGAAGACCAGGACTCTCCGGGGAGGGTAAACACAAGGAAGCTAGGCAAGAGGAAGAGAATTGTGTGTTGGAATTTGTACCAGTTTGATCCCGCATTTATTGAGGTGTAGAACTCGAGTAATGGCTAGGGAACGCTGCAAGGTGTAAGAAATTTTGGAATAGACACCAGAGAATGATCTCTCGAGTACGAAGCTAAACCAATCGATCTTCCAATCTCTTCCTCGCTTTGATGAGGTGCTCGGGCAAGGAAGGAGCAAGAATATTGAACGTGTCGTTGTAGACGGTCGAGAGAGCCACCCACAGCGCTGAGAGTTCGGTACTTGTGCATATTAAGTGCAAAGGATCAGCCAACTAGCCACGGAGCTTATCTGGAAGTCCTCGTCTCTGACCATCTCCCTGGAAGGGGTCAGGTGGTGTGTAGCTCTGAGCGTTTCAGCACTAGTAGTGGGCAAGGTAGACACACGAGCCACATGCACACTGACAACATCACATAGAATAACAAACTGCCGTTCTGAGTAACTTGATAGATTGTAATTTGATACTGAATATATAATTAGCGGCTGTAATTTCTAATACCACCCGCCGTTCCCTGAATGATACAAGACAGACAGATAGTCCGTGTTTAAAAAAAAAAGTATAATCAACGCTTAACAATACACTCATAGACCATTTGGTAATTTTAGAAGGTTGAGCCGTCCACGTCATGTAAGCAACTTTACCAGTGTCACAGTTTCTGGACATACAAAAATAACAGGCAAAATTCCCGGGATGATATCGGCCTCTCTGCTGCCTATATTGATTTTCAGCATCCACCCTGATCCCCTTGTCTTCCTCCCCCCCCACCCTGATCCCCTTGTCTTCCTCCCCCCCTCCCTGATCCCCTTGTCTTCCCTTATCCCTTTGTCACCCCTCCCATTTGTGCTCCCCCCCCCTGTGTTCTCCCTCTTTCCTCAAATGTCCATGCAGCCCCCCCCCTCTTTACCTAGCCTTGTCCTCTTGCCTTACCCCCCCATTTCCCCTCTCGTTTTCCGTCTCACATAATCTGTCTGTTCTCTCCTCTCCCAGTTCTCGTGCTACTCTCCATTCCTCCCTTCATCAATATTTTGCTCTTTCCCCTTCTACCTCACCCTCTTTCCTCCGATTTTTTTGTTTGTGTGTTTATTATGCATAAACTTCAAGATGTATTTAGCATTTTCCTTACTCCCTCGCCTACCTTTCCTCCCACCTCCCTCTCAGAGACAACCCCAAACTCGCTCCCCGTCTTCTCTTAGTGTCAATATACCCCAGAGATACCGGGTCCCTCGCTGGCGGCGCTGGGGGACGTGAAGGTAGAGACCCATAAAATCCATAGAGAAGGTAGAATCACCCATACCGAAGGTGATCTCCTGTTCTAACAGCAAACACCCGCGGTCACCCTGCAAAGTATACATTACCCCCCCTTGTACGCGTTTTATTTGATCTAAATCTTGGTAACGGCATGAGACCGGATTTTTCGTATTATATTGGAACCAGGCCTCTGTATCTGGCGCTGTGATTGGACAGGTGACGTGAACGTCGCTGTATCTGACTCCGTGATTGGTCATTGAATTACATATCGATGATTCAACTTGTGTGATTGGTTAGTTGTGGGCGTTCATATTGTTGCGTCCATGATTGGTTACTACGTCGTATACCTGCTGATACAAGTGCTTGGTTGTTTGAGCCTCTCGCGTAGGAAGATGACAAGGTGGAGGTGGCAGTGGAGAAAGAGGGTGGTGGAGAGGTGGTGGTGAGGGGGTGGTGAGGGGGTGGTGAGGGGGTAGTGAGGGGGTGGTGAGGTGGTGGTGGGGGGGGGGGGTGAGGGGGAAGGGGGGTGAGGTGGTGGTGGTGAGATGGTGGTGAGGAGGTGGAGACGTGGTGGTGAGATGGTGGTGAGATGGTGGTGGGGTGGTGGTGAGGTGGTGGTGAGATGGTGGTGGGGTGGTGGTGAGGCGGCGGCGGAAGTGGAGGAGGAAGGTGGTGGTGGAGGAGAGGATAGTACTTACCTAAGTGGCTACTGGGGAGTGAGGTGTAGCTCTTAATGCCCCGCCTACCAGCCGTATTTTACCTGTTGCATTACAATTTAACTATTCTAACGTTCGAATGCCTTGTCGAATCTAGCCTTAAAGTTGTGGAGGGAGGTGGCTTCCACAATTTATTCTTTCAGTGCGTTCCAGTTAACTACCCGTACAGAGTAAGAGTATTTCCGTTTCCAACTTCCATCCTTCCCCCTCAGCATCTTGTATGTTGTGATCATATCCTCTCTGTTCCTTCTATCCTCTAGTGTTACGAGCTTTAGATCCATCAGCCTATTCTCGTAGCTTAACCTTCTTAGTTCTGGTGGTGTTGAAAGAGGAAGAGAAGGGGATAGATGAGGAAAGAAGGGAAGATATAAAAAAGAGGAGTCGAGGGGAAGGGGGAAAGGAGCGGTGGAAGAGGAAGGGGGAAAGTGGAAGAAAATAATGGGAAGAGGAAAGGTGGAAGAGGTGGAGGGGGTTGTGACGTCACGCAGCATCATCTAACCACCGTCGTCTTAAAGCTGGTGGATGAAGGCAAGAATCTTGCCGGCCGCCCGCCATTCATTCAACATTTAACAAAGGATTTGGTATACAAGCGAATCACTTTGGAGCATCAACATTTCTGTGTCTATATTAAGCATTTTGAAACATCACGCATCAAGAATTGTATCTGAAGCACTTCACAGGGTCATTATCGAATTGAACGATTTCGTCAGTATCTAGTATTTCAAATAATGGGCCATTACTTTGACGAAAACATTTTGTGTGCCTGGCATATACAGAATATGCACGGTGATCGCATAGACGAGAGAGAGAGAGAGAGAGAGAGAGAGAGAGAGAGAGAGAGAGAGAGAGAGAGAGAGAGAGAGAGAGAGAGAGAGAGAGAGAGAGAGAGAGAGAGAGAGAGAGAGAGAGAGAGAGAGAGAGAGAGAGAGAGAGAGAGAGAGAGAGAGAGAGAGAGAGAGAGAGAGAGAGAGAGAGAGAGAGAGAGAGAGAGAGAGAGAGAGAGAGAGAGAGAGAGAGAGAGAGAGAGAGAGAGAGAGAGAGAGAGAGAGAGAGAGAGAGAGAGAGAGAGAGAGAGAGAGAGAGAGAGAGAGAGAGAGAGAGAGAGAGAGAGAGAGAGAGAGAGAGAGAGAGAGAGAGAGAGAGAGAGAGAGAGAGAGAGAGAGAGAGAGAGAGAGAGAGAGAGAGAGAGAGAGAGAGAGAGAGAGAGAGAGAGAAATGGTCTAAGAGTGTACCATCTCTCGCTAGCTACAAATATTTCTTTTCCAGATATGTATATTATGACAATGGCATATTGCTATATTAACTGTTATGGGTATTATCTGCAATGTCATCTAATCAATACTTCAAAGGAGTAAGACTGTGGCAAGCCAGAAGCAACATGCACACCTCAACACTCCTTACATTCATACACACTGGAAACATCACGTTGAAAAATGGAAGACATTGTTACCATGCTTATCACGGAATCTGGAACCTGTGACTCTAGAAGTGAAGTGCAGAGAGCGTTGTTGGTTGTGGCGGCGGAGGCTGCGGTCGCGTTTTTCTTGGTGGTAGCTGCAGTTGTGGTGGTGTTGGTGGTAGCAGGCGTGGATGGGAGACGGTTGATGGTTCTCTTGGCGTGACACACGCAGGAACAGCGAGTCGGAGCACAGAGAGGCCGCTAACATTCACCGTGCTTTCTCACCACGCTCACAGACTAGTTGATTTTTGCATCTAAGAAATTGGTGGATTAAAAAAAAAAAAGTTGGCAGGTGGAGCGTGACTCGAGCTTCAAAGGACCTTCACGAGGTCCTCCACATGGGTCCTCCACACACCACAAGCTAGCCACATTCTTCGCCGCCCACACACCAACTTGCTCAGCAAAACAACACAAGCCCTGATTTGTTGTTTTTGTCACAGTTATTAACAAGGCTTGTTTACCTGGCGCACTTGTGTCCTACAACTGCACTTTTTTTTTTTAAGCAGCATGGCTCTAAAACTTTTTTATCCTCGACAGTGCAGTGTCCTAAACTTATATCTCTGACACACACGTGTCCTACTCTAATGTTACTGGAAGACTTGGTTACCGTTCAGGCAGACTCTGAGAACATGGGAACGAATCCCTGGAAGACACGATGAACCTGACGACGAGGGTCAGGTGATGATGACTGCAGGCGCTGGTCCCTGGGCAATCCTGGGTCAGACTACTCTGCACGTGTCGCTGACACGGGGGCTGGCGTTCTTGCTGGCGTGCATCCTACACGTGGCGAACTGACACGCAGCAGTCTTGACTTGCTGGCTAAAGCCGCCTTTTCACAGCTGTTGCTCTGCCCTGTTTCCTAGTTGATTATTGCTTCATAAAAAGATTACTCATTAATTCTATTTCCAATATTTTTTGAAGCGTGATGCAGTTATAAACACTTATAAAGAGATTTACAGCGTGTAATAGCCGCACTTTCCCGTGCAAGATTCCACTGAATTTCTTGTATAACTGGAGGTATTTCGAAACCAGTTCTTGATCCTGAGCACTAGAAGGGCAGACCAATCTGGAAGGCCTCGACCAGGGCGTAGAAGGAGGTGGTGATCCCAATTATACCGAAGAGAAAGCCTAAGAAGATTACAAAGTAGTCGTAGGCGATGTCCCCCCACTCCAGTTTGCCAGCCTTGATTTTAAGATGAAAATAGCATGGCCAAATGAAGGACAACATAGTTCCTGTAAAGGAACCTATCAAGCCCATCAGGATAGCAAAGTGTGGAATGAAAATAGCCATCAGAATGGTGAAGACCACCACCAGGACTCTAACAGCCAAGGCCCACACCTTGAGCTCCCCGTCGAGCGCCCAAACGGAGGGGAACGTTGTCTTGGGCCGTCCACGGAAGAAGGTGACCTCGATGATCTCGACTGCGGCGTAGTATGGTAGGGGGTAGGACAACATGGCCTTCACCACCAGGATAAGGTTGACAAATCCTTTGAAAGTTGGGTTCGGGAGGTTGTTGGTGATGACCTCCTCGGTGTCCTCGGCCCAGGTCAGGAATCCCACGTAACCGAACAGCGCTTTGAAGAGTGCCGCAGCGAGATGACTCCAGTTCAGCATGCATGTGAACTTCGACCTGTCGACCAGGTTGTACTCTAACGTGGGCAGGAAGATGTGCGACGTGTAACTGAAGACGATGATTCCCAAGGCGATGGGAAACTCGAGGAGATCTATGCGGAACATGACTTTTGACCAGGCCCAGGTGGAGGCGTTGCCGATACAGTAGGCGAAGATGATAATGTTGATGGCCAAGTGGGCGACCATGCACCAGAAGGAGAGCGTGGACACGTGATGAAGGTTCTTGAGGAAGCCGCAGGGCAAGAGCAAGATGCCGCAGATCATCATCCAGGAGCGGGCGTCGATGGGCCCGTCAGGAAAGCTGCCGATCATCAGGTCGCCGCACAACACCACGTACAGGATGCACGTCATCAACAACTCAATCAGCTGAGGGAGCACAACACAGGTTAGTCGCATAGGTCAATATTTGGCAAGTAAGAAATTATCAAAGAAGGCACCAAGCCGGCAAGGAAAAATATTTGGCAAGCGTTTATTTATTTATTATTATTAATACTGTATATTATTATTATTATTATTAATATATATTATTATTATTATTATTATTATTATTATTATTTTCCTCGGTATTAATGTTATCATTACCACATTTATTATTTTAGCAGTCTATCAGTCACGGGTAATAAACGAACCACTTTTACTCTCAAATTTTGTTGAGACGCATTTCAAGTTGCTTGTATTCGCCAGGAGCATAGATCCCGACTAAGATATTAACACGAAACATAAGTTTAGAGGGTCCCCGGTAGTACAGTTGGGTTCGTTCTCAACGCACAAATCGAGAATTCCCGGACAGAAATGGTTTGGCACATTTCCTTTCACCTAATGTCTCTGTTCACCTAGCAGCAAGTAGGTACTCGGGAGTCAGTCAGTTTGTGGGGTTGCATCCTGGGCGGGGGGGGGGGACCTCGATAAACATCCTAACGTGTATGAACACACTCTGGCTTCCTGTCCCTTGACAGGTGACTTATGACATAATAATAATGCGCTCAATACTCACTCCCGTTAGTGACACTCATGTTAGTTAACACTAACTCCCGTTAGTAGCGCAAAAACGTTAATAAAACTTCAGATTTCTTCTCGTGATTTTAATACGTGGAATTTTTTAGCTAATTTACAAAATAATCATCGCGTTATATCTGTTCCATATTGTAAATAAAATATTATATTTAAACTTTTGTTTGTCCGTATTTTATGTGTATTCCTCATGTCAAAAAAATCTAGACAAATCAGATTGTTAAACTTATCTAAAGTTTACCAAATCAAACCTAACTTTGCCTAGCCAAATCTTACCAAACCAAGCCTAAACACAACTTATCAAATCTAACTTAACGGAACCTAACCAAAACTTTTCATACTTAACGTAACAAAATTTTTACAAAATCTTTTACAAAATTAAATTTAACATAACTGTCTACTCAAATCTTTTGCAATAAAAGTCGCAAAATTGTTAGAAACCTAGCATAATTTTGCCTCCCCCCCCCCCCCCCGCAAACCTGGAAACTATACTACAACCAAACCTAACCTATCTAAATGTTATCAAACCTCAACCAAATTTGAGTAAAGCTAACCTAATCTACTCAAATATCGTCAAGCCTAACGTTAACCAAAGCTTACCAAACCTAATATCCAGGGGGGTAGAAATAGCCTAAACTACTCTATCCCTTTGAGATGTATTTCTTTCTTATCTCAATAAACATACTTGAACTTGAACTTGAACCTAATATTTCAAAGTCTAGTATATAGTTAGTAGATACCACAAAGGTCTATAGGGATTCTAAAAGCAACCATATGCAGTCTGTTGAAAGTATCCATGTCAATAATTTTTGTAACAGGTTTTATGCAATTAGAGAGGATTTATGAGGGTTGAATCGAATGAAAAGGTTGTGTCATTCACCTCGACCAATCAGTAACGAGTACCGGTGCAAAAGAATCACATGGTAAGATGTGATTATCAGCAATATAATAAATCACATTGATGTTTTTAAGTCGGCCACCAATGTATTAACAAAAATGGTTAATAACTGAAGTGGGCAGAGTAGTTTTTACTAACAGGTAAACCACTAACCGAAATTCCAACAATAAAAACGGCAATTGAAACACATAACCTGGAAAATCAACACTATGAACGGGAACTTCAAACATTTGACCTCACCTGAGCAGAGTTGACAATCTTGCCCCCCCACTTCTGCCCAAACACCTCCCTGGCGATGCCCTTGTAGGAAGACCTCACGCGGATCCACTGTCCTTCCTCATTGAGCTCGTAAAGGCAGTCGACCAGGATCTTGCCCGTGTAGCAGCAGATGTAGGCTATTCCCACCATGGCGACGATAGCCCAGTAGCCCCCGTGGAGTACCGCGTAGGGCAGCGACACGATGAACATCCCCTGTGGGTGGGAAGGAAGGTTATGGAATCTTTACCCTGGGTGTATGTTCTATCATTTATAGATTATGGAAATAAAAATATATCAAACACGTACTTCCCTGGATCAGACACTGAACTGATGGAATTTACTTAACCTGATCTTATTAAGAATGACAGTGTACAGTAGAGACCTTTGTCAGGGTGAACCACAACTGTGTACAGTAGAGTCGTTCACTTACCAAATACGATTAACCGTTCTCTGTAATCCATAGCCCTCAGCTCAGGAATCAAACACATATGCAACAAATCCTGCATCAATTTAGTGGCAAACACTTTAATTTTGATCAAACTTCTGTATGTGCTTAATGATTCCGCCATTGTTGGGGGGAGGAAGCCTATTAGGCTCATCGGTGTAATTTTACTCAACGATTGACTATTCCACAGGATGTAACGCACAATAGTTTAACTCCTGGGTTCCTATTCACTTATGTATGTATATACACATTCCCAAACGTCTCACCCTTCCCGGGAATCGAACACGGGATCAATCGGTTGTGCGATTGCCGTATCAATTCGTCAAGCTGTACTTGCATCTAGGTGTACTTGCTTACTCAAACATCAAGATGGACAAGGACACATGGAAGTTGAACACCCAATTCTATACGAGCAACGAGGAAGCTAAGCTAATTAAGACAGTTGCCAAAGAATTAGCAACCTACTACATCTTGCGACTGGTGAGTTGAGAGGCAAGCCCAATGGCTGATGTCTTGCCCCCCTGCAAACACTGCTAGGTGAGCACACACATACACAAATCACACCTACATACCCTCCCACCCTTTAGACCATAATACAATACCCGTCGTCTAAGCCCCCATCCCTCCCGCCATCTTGTCCCCTTGTTTCCCAGGCTCCAGTACCCCCGATGGACATATATTTACAGGTGTATGGATCACCGTCGGCTCCTGAATCTGGATACTTGGCAACCCTGCCATGCTCAGAGTATAAGAAGGCGTCGAGGTGGACATGTACCTCAGACGCTCCGGCCGCCGCTGCTGTGCTAGAGGCGGGGAGGGGATGGAGGGCGCGATCAATACGGTCTCATGGTGGGCGCCATCTTGGAGGTCCACTCTGATGCTATAAAGGGGGAAGGCAAACGTGAGAGGGGGGGGGAGATGAGTGATCCTGTGGGGTTGTGACATGTAGGTTATTGGGGTCGATAATGGCATGCGTTAGCTCCTCTTGATCGACTGAATGTACAAGTGTACCGTTGTACATCTCCCTGTAATTCATACCACTCGTCCCACTCCACCTGTACCACCTCACCTGCTGTGACACCATAACTTCTCCCGTACCCTTACACCACCTCCAGTACCACAACACCGCACCTCTTGTGTACCATCACGCCTCTGTATCACCATAACACAACCCCCCCCCCCCCCTCCCTCTCTCCATCTCTGTACCTGGGAGCAAGACAAATGATGTAAGATTAATTAGAGAAGCTTTGAGGTACCACTGAAGAGCATTCGACGAGCAGCCGTCTACCACAAAGACATTGTGCAGTCACTCCACATCTAATTTCCACCCGCTGGTTTCAGCCAGTCCTGCCAAACTCCTTGACAAGTGAGGTGGCGGGAGGTGACAGGTACTTTCCGAAATGTTTTATCTAAATGTACTTGTAGAGGCGAGGGCTAGCTCTAAAGCTCCAGTCCTGTCATTTCCGACTGTCTCCTGTCATGACCCCACCTTCCATGGTCACAGCCATGTCACACCTTCCATGGTCACAGCCATGTCCCACCTTTCATGGTCACAGCCATGTCTCACCTTAATAAATGCCAAACTAAGCCATGAGGACGTTTTCCTTAAATCGCTGATGGAATAATGATGGCAACCAATGGCGAGAGTCGGTCGACATAATGAGTATAGATGCTCTATCGAGATCCGGCGAGCCTGATTTGAAATCATCTGTTTTGGGCTGGTGAGGTTCGGCCGATCTTTTGGATTGGGTCTGAAGAAAATAAAAAGTTTTGACGGTGGGAGCGGAATCGGGTGCCAGGCAGTCAAATCTTGCTGCATCTGTAGATCCATCTGCAAAAATATTGGCACCAGGGAACTGGACTAACTTACTATCCAGCAAGCCATCTGGATGTTTACGGAGGAGACTACTAGCTCAGGAGATGGAGCCATAGTTCATAGTGAACTTTAGTGAGGCGCTGGATGATGAGAAGCGGCGACATTTTCTCAGTGGAAAAGAATATGGAATGTCATTCCCAAGAGCTGCCCGCCAACTACAACTACTTGGACTGGACGGTAGAAGGATGGTCTCGCTTCATGCAGGTCTGCGTTCAATCCCCCAACGTCCAAATGCTTGGGCACCATTCCTTCCCCCCCCCCGTCTCATCCCAAATCCTTATCCTGACCCCAGTGCTATATAGTTGTAATGGCTTGGGGCTTTCCCCTGATAGTTCTGTCATTCCCTCCCAAGAGCTGACTTGTGTAGTGGGTACTGCTTTAAATCTTCGGTGGACCAGTGTCGGTGTAGTGGTGAAGAGGCGACATGAAGCAATCGAAGTTAAAGTTCTCAAAAGGAAGAGTATGAAGGAGTCGCCAGGAAATGTTTTTGTATAAATGGGCGACGCCAGGAATCTACGGTGATCACACTGATGTTTTCAACTACTAGCAACTGTGTCTGGTCGAGTACCATACGGGGAGGAATGTCAGACGGGGGAGGGGGGAAGGAGGGGAGAACAGCAGATAGATCTGTACCTTTGTCTGGTCTTTTGCTTGGATATGTAGCCACATCCTGTTGTTTAGGACAGACATGGTCTCGTAATTTTCTCCACTTTGTAACTGGTGGAACGGTGACTTGGTGTGTGTGCAAGCCATACATATTATCCACAATTTCTAATTAAATAGAGAACTATAGTGTATTTGAAGTTTAAAAAGGACCCGGCGGTGTAAGCTTGAGGAACTCACAGCACCCGTCACCACAGTATGTTTCATTAACTAGCCTTACATTATTCCGTTAAATGTGGTAAAGACCTACACGCAAAGTTACCGCCAATATAACTGACTCATCCTGACGTGTGGCGAGGGAAAGACGCTTCATGGTAGCCACAACTCTCATTTTCACCGTAACTGCCATCACCTGAATCATCACCATCAGCGTTATCATCGTTGGGTTCATCTTCACTATTTTGGACGGAGAAGAACCAATTGTGATAGCCATAAGGGGAGGGAGGGAGAGAGAGAGAGAGAGAGAGAGAGAGAGAGAGAGAGAGAGAGAGAGAGAGAGAGAGAGAGAGAGAGAGAGAGAGAGAGAGAGAGAGAGAGAGAGAGAGAGAGAGAGAGAGAGAGAGAGAGAGAGAGGGAGAGAGAGAGACAGAGGGAGAGAGACAGAGGGAGAGAGACAGAGGGAGAGAGACAGAGGGAGAGAGACAGAGGGAGAGAGACAGAGGGAGAGAGACAGAGGGAGAGAGAGACAGAGAGAGAGAGACAGACACAGACTTGAGACAGACATCGCCAGGGGGGGGGGGCTTGATGCCCACCCGCAGATAAGGGAAACATATCAAGTTGTCGACTGTCTGCTATATTTAGCACTTTACTCTCCCTAGCAGCGCTTGTTTTAGCTTCAGTTTTATTAGATACTCTGTCGTGTGGACGCTAAAGTTAGCGCTGGTTCTCCACGAATGTATATGTATATATATATATATATATATATATATATATATATATATATATATATATATATATATATATATATATATATATATATATCAATCTTCACTTTCCCTATTGACAGGGAACACTATCTTCATGCTTATTGAATTTCATCTTCATCATCTTCCTTCCAGCATTATTAATTAATTAATTTCATGTTCACTGCCAGACAGTGTTGTATGCTGTAGTCACCATTATCATTTTCATTACTCTTAAATTCTCAAGTCACCATTGTTTGCTCTTGACGCCAATCTCTTCGCCCTTTCCATTTTCACCATCCCAAAACACTGGCTTCACCATCAAAACTACCGCCGCTATATTCATTACTAGCATAATTGTTCACACTCACCATCAATGTCACTGTTTACTACACCGGTACTATTCACTTTATTCATGTTCACTATTATTACAATCATCTTCACTATCATCAGAAACTCATTTGTGTAAAGTCGTTGTTCTCTAACACACTATAAGGTTCAACCTGATCTTTCACTATCGTCACCTTTTTTTCATCTTCATAGTTTTCAAGTCACTTTCTTTTCTGACATTATCACATTCACGGTGTTAAATGTCAATGAATCTTTGTCTTCGGGACAGTGAGCGTCACTATCACTACAGCTACACTACCGCTTACATCCTCATCTTCACCGAGTCATCATGTTCCCACGCATCACTGTTTTCACTATCATTTTAAGCCTATCCATAATCGATTTCTTTTTTCTCATCTTGAAAAAAAGACGTTCTACACATTTATCTTAATTTATATGGCAGCTTATTAACTTTATTACCATAATCCGTCAATTATTATCTTCTACCATCCCTACCAACATTCCTGTCATCCCTACCACCATCCCTAATACCATCCCCACTACCATCCTTATCCCTATCATTTCAACCACCTAACACCATCATTACTACCACCATCTCTACTCCCATCACTACCATCACATACTCAACCACCGTCACTACCGATAACGCTACCACCACCGCCACCTACCACCACTTGTTCAACCACCATCCCAACCATCACCACTACTTGTTCAACCACCTTCACTACCGATACCACCACCACCACTGTTACCACTACCAAAGGATACCTGATTGCCTTCAGACGTCAGAGTGCAACCAGCAGTATCTAAGAGCCTAGTTAACCGAACTGCCAACCAGGAGACCTAGTCAACCACTGGGCCGCAGGGACGTTTACCTTCAGCAACCATCTCAAGGTGGTTGACGTCTTCGGCAACCATCTCAAGGTGGTTAACGTCTTCGTCAACCACCTCTAGGTGGTTGACGAAGCTAAACCAC